GCAACCACGCCTTCCGCACTTCTGCGGTGAGACAAAGCGTGCTATACTCATCCAGCAGGGCGAAAATGATGACTTTTGTATCTATTTACCATCATGAGTCATTGAGGGGGTGTGGGACGTTAGTCTCGACTGACATTACTTCGCGCCGAAGTGCGAAGTGACCTCATTAATGACTAACCTCATCTTAATTACGCGCCTCCCTTTAACTAACCTAATCCTACTTATGAGAGCGATGGCAATGATGGGAATAGTGAGAAAATGAAATTCCAAGAAAAGTAGCTTTTAACGTAAAATTTTCATGGTCTTTGGTTTGTAGGGTTTTATTACCATGCAAGATGATAGAAATTTCAACAAAAAAAAATTCCAATATAATGTAAAGAAGCCTAATTTTCCTTATAAAAATCATCTCAAAAATAACATTCAATCAACTCAGATGGTCTTGTTCGTTGCGAATTTGGACATCTTTATGCAAGACTCCTCAATTTGGATGCGATTTGCTCCTCTCCGATGAACTTCGTCGAAGCGGTTGGGAAGGTGCAGATTAGCACATATACAAGGGTTGCGGTGCGGGTTGGAGCGGTTGGATAGCTGCAGAAGTATTCTAGAGCGAAGGCTAAGGTTTAAGCAAGGCCTCTTTTCTATAATCATCACTTACCCACCAGGCTAAATAGTAGCTGATGAATAGCCTCTTTATTGTACTGAATTTAGCCGGGAGTATTGTAAAATTCCGTGAGAAGTGTGAAATGGCCTAGACAGCCGGAGGGTGTTCAACGACCTTTCAAAGGCAAGATACCCCAATATCAATTACCTACGTGGCTTCGGAAATGTTGTTTGATTTCACAGATGAGAGGAAATTCGAAAAATAGAATGTTTTTTATCTTACACGGACTTTGTTTTCATGACCCTTGAATTTTTCTATTCCATATGGTTATAGAAGTTTCAAAACCAAAGACAAGAAATTCTACATCTTTCACGAACTTTATTTTAATGATCCTCGAATTTTTCTATTCCATACGGTAATAGAACTTTTAAAACCGAAGATCATGATAATTTTACGTTGAAAACTGCTTTTTAAAAACTAAACTTCATTGCCATCACTCTCATAGGTAGGATGAGGTTAGTTACGTTCAAGGGGAGACGCGTGATTAGGATGAGGTTAGTCATTAATGAGGTCTCTTTGCACCTCGGCGCGAAGTAAGTCAGTCGAGACTAACGTCGCACACCCTCATTGAGGAGGCCAAGAACGATTTCAAACACGCGAACGGGTGAGCTAGGTATGCGCATCATACATACGTGAGTTAATCAACGGTCGGAGCTCTGAATTTTCCAGGGTTTTCTCGTAATGAATAGTTTTCAATTTGCTGCCAGTGCCAATTTGCTACTTTCACATGGCCATATAAACTAATCGAACTCATCATCGTACAAGGAGATAGATAGATAGCAGATTTTAACTAGTTTTGTTCATCAATCTTGAAAAACGGAAAACTAAAAAATAAATTCTTTAGGGTAAGAAAGAAAACGTACGCCACCAACTTCTTCTCCTTATTCTAATCACATTAGAGATCATATTTCTATACATAGCCGCAGCCCACTCCATGGTTACAGATGTGATCCTGCTCATCCTATATCGATATCGAAGTCGAATCCTTCGCAATCTCAGTAGCGTACCTATTAGAAGGGGGTGGAAGACTAGGCAGACAGATGCTCTATAGTATCCGAGGTTAGGCCAGCATTCGGTGTTGGTGTAACTGACGTTAGTGGCGTGTTGTGGTATCCCAGGTTAGCTTGAAGTTCGTGGTCTGAGTTGCATGTAGTTATGAGTTGACTCGCATCAATTATGATAGGCAACACTCCAGAGTTTTGGAACGCTTCAAGACTTTGTGAACAACGAAGTTGGCGAATCATCAGGTATACTTATCATCGCATAACAAGTGTGCCACCAATTAAGTCTGTGCTGTGCACGAGTACTGGATACTTGTAGGAAAGCCTTCGAGCCTTCGATGCATGGTTCACGCTAGCTTCTAGAGCCAACCCGCTTCCCAAGCATCAGAAGTCTTATGTTTTCTCGATGGCTTACTCGAGACAATCTGTGATTGGATCTTTGTCTCGTTAATGAGGAACTTGGTCTTTTTCTCGTACACCTTGAGCCCTTTCTCGGCCGCGACCTTCTGCAAAATCTATAGCTTGTCCTAAAGCTCCTTTGTAGACCTTCAAGCTCTGAAAAACTCTAGTGAAAAATTTTATTCTTGAGCAGCAAACATTACCCATCGCCGAGGCCATCAACTCAAAAAGGAACTCGTCAAAAATCTCTTCGGGAGCATGGCCGACAGTAGTCTTCTGGTTATCCGCAGAATCGGTGGCTGTAGTAAAGTATCGTCGGTAAGAAAGGGGTTTTCGTTGTGTTCTTGCTCTTTAGTAGTTTGTTTCTTTCAGGTGGAACGATAATTCTGCAATGTTGGCCAACTTACATATTTCAAAGGTTTTTACAAAATAATAAGAAAAAAATCTTACGATTCCAATTAGATTGTTGGTATCAGCACGCAGATTTGTCTATTTGACACGTCTGTTTTTTAAATTTTTTTGAGTATATCTACTATGCTAGAATATCTTCAGGGGTTTTGAGGGTTAACCCACCTATTAAAAAAACCCTTCCCGCAAATAGGAATTCTGAATTACACTCCTTTGCACAGATTCGAAATCCGCTTTTCATTAGAACTTGCCTGGGACAACCAGCCAATCCATTCTTTTGGGGTCTGTTGTATAGCATATGCGGGATCAAAGAATGGAGTTGTTTATCTGTCTATACTCATATCAATTTACACAAACATGCCCTTTTCAACACCACCATGACCACCATAGTCACTAAAAGAACTAGCTGAAACTAGGGATCAACAAAAGCTGAAGTAAAAGTGCATTGGTTTCGACCAATAATCTTGGTTCGAACGTATTATCACTGCTGACGAGGTCCTCTCGCAAACAGAGAAGAAGGAGAAATTTGCGCTTCTTGACTCTTACACAGCAAGTGCTCGGCAAAAGTCGACGACACTGATTGCCAACCAGCTGCCACCCGCTCAATTCTTTGCCATCCGTCTATATTTTCACCATAACCGAATCTATTTTTCTACTTCCCCTTCTTCGAGATTAATGCATATTTGTGACTGAATACTACTTATCACCAAGATTTCCAGTTCTTTACACAGCACTGGGTTTTTCTCTGATGAATCCTGAATATGATTCAGTCATGTCGTCATGTGAATGTATTCAAAGTATCTCAATTTTTCGCATCGGAACTGCATTGAATTGCCGCCTCCCAAAGGTGTCGGCTGTGGTCTTGTAGCTGTTCCACAAGTCTCAATTCTGAGCTAGATCTGATAGCAAATAATAAAACCGTTCACTTCGGGAAACTATAAAAGAGAAAGTTTTGACAGTTGGCCAACTCATACGATGAGGCTGCTCAGCAATATCATTTGAAATAGTATTCGACCTACACAATTACTTATGGTGGTGAGCAGATATGCAAATCATTGTCCTTATTCTCCTGGACGAGTATTGTACATATTGCTCCACCACAAAGGGTTGGAGCCTTAATCGGCCGAGCGGATTTCGACGTGGAATACCAGATCAGTGCTCCACTTGCCATGTGGTTGTATTGGAGAGCACACCGCATCAATAAATAATTGGGTTCAACACTGTTCAAGGGAGTGATTTTCGACCCAGTCCCATCCATAACCAAGGGCATATTGTCTCTTTATCAGTGTGCATAGTTCACTGTCTCGAGTTTTTAAGGATTGCAATCAGTTTCCATCAATGTAACGATCCTTTAAAATGTTCTGATATGTATTGCTTAACATATTTTTTCCGGTGTAATACATAATTCACATATTTTTACTATTTTAGGGCTTTCCTTTGCTTAAAAGGTATGCTATGCAATTTGAGTAATTGCTTGCGTCTTGAACAAATCCTCATTATCTGCGGCCTAGGGAGATCTGCTTTTCTCGTCAGGCATTTTGAAGGAGTGGTTCATTTTTAATACCCATAGGAGACCTGGAAATAAGTTAAACCTAGTGAAATGTTGTCTCACAATTCCGTCTGCGCTGAGTTGGCGAAATCTAATGAAGAAGTCATCAGGAGACAGACATCATTGGAATACGACGTATGGCGTGCATGCATTCTATAGGCACGACTGCATAATTGCCAATGATTTCTCATTTTTGGCTGACTCGCCATAGATTTAGTCAGATTGTGGCATTTTTCGTGAGAACGTTCTAGTGGGTAACCACTTTTGGGACCCGCTTCAAGTATTTGTAATGTCTGCTTGCTGGAAGTCTTGGAGCAGCCTCGGAGCCGTTGAAGACTTTCCGAAACCAAGAACTCCCACTGCATTGTTTCGAGGAATTTGAACTTGAAGATTATCATAACTTGTTCATGTTATCTATGAATGCCTAAGAATCTTGAACTGCTGAACTTCGGTTGATCATTTTTGGAATAGATGCTCTTCCAACCTTTTGAACGTTGAACTCGGGACATTCAATGTCAATTTCAGACCCGAAAATCACAATAGTTTTGTGTAACCAGTTAATACATAATAAAAACCCTTTATCCGAACGACTAAGTATTGTATAAAAGAGTGCGTCAATCCTTGGCAGCGAGAAACTTGAAAAGAAAACAAAGCCACCGTTTCAATCCTGAGCAACAATCCTAGGATTCTAACAGGCCACTCCTTCCCACCTCTCCATTAACTTGCAATCTCAAATTGCCAACATAACTCCTCTCCTAAATTGATGCGGTATATCCCTGTGCTCCTTCGGTTTACCTGTCCATGTCCAGGGTCACTCGGACTGTCCAGAATGATCGTCCTTCTTCCTATTCTCTGATCTATTTGCTCTCTAATCATTATTAGCTGTTCACTAATAACATTTCCAAACACTTCTTGTTTTCTTCGCCTTCACAAGTGTTTCATTTTGCCTGACATATTACTTTTTCTGTTTTTAACAGGTGGAATGCCTCGGATCGAGTTTGAGCCGAAGCTTGATTTCAAAGATGTTCTTCTACGACCAAAACGGTCTACACTGAAAAGCAGAGCAGATGTGGATCTCGTTCGAGAGTACGTGAGGATACATTTATTGTTGGGTATTTTTCTCATAATTATTGAGCAAATTGTTTGAGGTACACATTCAAAAACTCCAAAAAAACCTATAGTGGAGTACCAGTGGTGGCGTCAAATATGGATACAGTGGGGACTTTTGAAATGGCAGAAACTCTTGCCAAACATCAACTATTCACAACCATACATAAACATTACTCTGTGAGTTTTGTCATCTACGTTTGCCAAAGGCCATATGATCAACTTCTATCTGTTTGTGGTGTTCCTTTCTATTCAACTGTAATGGATTCCTGGGAAGAGACCATACGCTTCCCAGGTGACTCAATGGGATATTCCCACATTCCCTTTTTAGTGTTTATTTGGTTATTGAATTCCTCGCTTATTCCCTTCGCTTATTCCTATGCATGTAGATCATTCTACTACTGCTCCATTTTTATCGGAAATCTGATTGTGTTCACAGAAGCTATTAATCCGCAATAAGCGAGCTTCCGTCTACCCGAGGGCTAAGTGTATCCTGGGTGTTATAATGCAGACAGCATCAACTGTGGGGCTTCCGAATTGCGCATGATTGTTGTCAGTTTTGTAAACTTTTTTCATCTCCACAACCTGTTTTAGTCTTCTGTTAATTGGTGCCGGCTGTTCAGAATATGAAATCCACAAATTCTCCAGCGGTCCTTCTATGAGAAGCCTTTTGATTCCTCGAATAATGGAAGCATATTGTAACATTAGCCTGTTTTGATGATGTTTGTTAACTGCCACGTAAGCCATTAAGAAGGCCAGGACAAGCGGGGTCTCGGAAGGGCAAACTATAGAGAGCACGATGCCCGCATAGCCGGAGTACGGATTCGAGCCCCGTTCGAGGCCGTAGTTTTGTCCATAACTCGCTAACATTGTCTAACATTAGCTTTTTTAGCTGGACGAATGGCAAGCATTCTTCGAGAAGAACAAAAATACGGACGTGTTCAAGAATATTGCTGTATCATCTGGGTTATCTGATAAAGACTTCGAAAAGGTAATTAGCAAGATTCCCTTTCGTCTTCACGGGCTCCCATATCGGTGTTTTGCGACTGGGGTTCCATTGCCATGTTTTGGTACTGGCACAGTGTCCACCACGATTCTGTAATTACTGAAATGCAGAGCACTTGTAATGATGGGTCACTTGAGCTTCTAAAGTTGGGCACGATATCCTGCTAAATCCCTCAGTTCATGACATTTAAGTGGAAGGGGTGTGTAAGTGTCCTGGACTGGGACTAGAATCCGTCAACAATTCAGTTCATCATCGAAATCATCTGAAACCCTGCCACGAGGTGGAAAATTTAGGTATATATTGGATCAGTGATTTCCATTAGCAGAAAAGAACTCCAAAAATCATCTAATTACAGTTACGATCTATTTGTGAGATGGTGCCGTTGTTGGAGAGCATCTGCCTAGACGTGGCAAACGGTTACTCAGAAACGTTTATCGAATATATTCGGAAGGTTCGCGAGCATTTCCCAAGGTATCTTTTTTCAGCAGTTTAGCATGTTTCTCTGGTAGTTCGCACGAATACATCGACTCCCTAAAGTCAGCAATTCTTTCTACCACATTATCTGCGCAACCGAGCTTATCATAACCCGTGGCTTTAGCTTGAACTATTAGAGAAAGATGTGTGGGAAACGTCATCAAACTTACCACACCCAGGGTACCTTAAAACTTGAGAAACGACCGCGCCAACCCTTGAGTGGGACGAGAAGCAAATTCTGGTAATCAGTTTATGATGCTGAATTTGATCCCAACTGAAGGGAGCGCTGAATTACCGATTTCATCATGACGCTCCCATGCCCGAATGAAGAGCCCATACAGGTTTTCCTTTGTCATCGCGTTATATTTCTTCACCGAGAAACTACCTACTATCTACGCTTCCTGTTTTCGCCTATACTCAGCTATCGTACAAAGCTTCAACTAGCAGCAAGTGATAATTAATAAGTAAAGGAAGCCATGAAAATCAAGCTAATGGTTTTCGAGTGATAATGGCTCAGTTTTCGGCATACAGATACAGATGCTATTTCAAACCAAAAGTTGGGCTCGTTCTGATCCCCCCCCCCCNGAATATTTGACAAGGCTCAAATGGACCGGATGAATTGATTAAGGTTCATTCTCCCTAGAATTATCCTAGAATTACTGCTGAAGTAAGCACTTTGGTAGTGTAAGTATACGTACGTACTGCACTGCTGCAACAACTTAACTTTTTGCAAGAGGCCAGTACACACACCTCTGTACTTGCACTGTACTTTTATGCACTTCCATGTAGTGGAAATTCTAAGTAGCCGCATTTCTGTTTAAGCAATCTATAACGACTTACAAAGGTCTTATAGAGTTATAGTGGTGCACGAAATTTCTGATCATTTTCGGAAATACGCAATCATTCAATATGTATGCCAGTACTTTCCAGACTTGCCAATCTGCTTTTGATAGTTCAGGCATACGATAATGGCCGGAAACGTGGTCACTGGTGAGATGGTTGAGGAGCTCATACTCTCAGGAGCCGACATCATCAAGGTGTGTCATTGAGCAGCTCTCTGTTTGCTTTTTTTCCTGAAAATGTGTCATCCATTCTCCTTCAAGTACTCAAAAACTAATTTGCAAGGTAGGAATCGGTCCAGGATCCGTTTGCACAACGAGAAAGAAGGCTGGAGTCGGCTATCCACAACTGAGCGCTGTAAGTTACCCTATAGCAGCCTTTTATCGCTATTACTTATACAAATGGCTTTTATTATCAATCTACAAATGAGTGCCATGACTTGGATTAACATGGGTCTGGCCAAAGATGGGATGGCAATAAGCAACAAGTACAACAAGGGCAATTTGTCCAAAAGCAATAGTAGGAGGAATATAGGTGGATAAGGATTGCTTGGTTCGTCTTCAAGATGTCCAGGGCTCGGGATCTCGGAGATCTTTGAAGTAAGTATACAAAAGCAAGATTGTAAAATATAGCTAGCATGCACTGAAGGAGGCAATGTTTGTGTGAGAAATCGGCGTCTAAGTCAGTTTTAAAAATAGAAGAAAAAGCAGACAGTATAAACGTGTGAACTAAGTTTATTAACGGTGGGAGTCCTCTGCATAGGGTAGACAGGGTTTTTGGTGACAGGATGACTCGAACAGTGGGCGACGCTCAAAATGGGGGCAAGTGCTACAGTGCATATTAGGACCAAAACAACATATTTTGTGGTGTGTAGGTAGTGGTAAGCATAACACAACACAACAAAAAGCATCAGCAGCAAGAAAATCCATGAAACATGTCATTTAATTACTATCGCACCGTGGTTTGGACATTGACAGCCTTCAAAAAACAGCGGTTGTAACTGATTGAACATATAGAGGGCCAAAGATAAGAAGTGCAATTGATAGCTTCTGAACGAAATCGATTGCAGATTATTGGAATTGTTAATCAGAAGGGATGTTCCAAAGTAATGAGGAGGTGGTGTCTTGAGAAAGCAGTTTCCCAGTCGTCGGCTCCTTGGAGGATCACTTTGTTGTGCTAGGAACAGCTTGAGCCGTGTGAAGTTCGTCGTTGAAGATGTTACCATTTTCAAAGTATTCGCCCCAGCTTTGGATTTTCAAAATCACAACTCCAGTGGATACACCGAATCAGTCACAAAGGTCTTCCTTTCAGCTTCTTTTCATAACCGAAAGACATAGAGAGAGCTCTCATGATCAGTTAGAAAGACATCTTACGCTCTACATGAATGCAATAGTTACTGTGAGGCTAAGAGGCTAATCTTAATCCTATCAATCCCTCAATGCTTACGCTTGAGGAACTTATCACTGACATGAGGGCAAGATCAACCAGTTCACATCAACCAATTCACCTACAAAGACACCTAGTCGATGTTTTGAATTTTTAACTTATTTATTACAAGAATTCGTAATAATGTAAAGGTTTCTTTGAGGTTCTCGAATGTGCTGACGCTGCCCATGGTCTCGGTGGGCATGTAATGAGCGATGGCGGATGTACAAACCCAGGAGATGTGGCGAAAGCGTTCGGAGCAGGTTTGACATCTTACATAGTCTTCTCCTTTCGTCCTTCCGTCTGATTCTCGAATAACCCTCTCGAGGAGCTGATTTCGTAATGATTGGCGGATTGCTGGCTGGTCATGATCAAAGCGGTGGGGAAATCATTGAACAAAACGGACGGGTGAGTCGAATGACAACACAGTCCAATGACCCTTTTACTGTAGTACCTGAGTTACTCAAATTTCCTCAATAACTTTTGGAAACATGTGGACCACCTCAGCTTGGACATGATATTCTACATACCTTACTTTTCTCTAGGTTCCCGGAACTTGAGCAAAAAGTCACAGTGTTTTAGAAATTCAAGCTGTTTTATGGTATGAGCTCAGACACGGCAATGACTAAATATCATGGAAATGTTGCTGATTACAGAGCAAGTGAAGGGAAAACGATTACCATCCCTTACAGGTTTGTTATCTGCCAAAGGGCAACATCCTGGGCGGAAGTTCATGCAGTTGTTGATTTATGGTTTCAAAAGCTTATTTGTAATCACTCGACATCAAGAGCCTTTTCAACAGTGTTTGCTAACCAGCACTTTTTTTTTCAGGGGAGACGTCAATAACACCGTTCTCGATATCCTTGGTGGAATTCGCTCCGCCTGCACGTACACTGGATCTGCTAAATTGAAGGTGAGCTTACGTAGTATGGTCCCCCGATCAAAGGATTTTCCATGGTGTGCTTCCTTTTTATGGCGGTTTGGGAGGGGTAGCGCCAAAAAACGAACTACAACATGCCCTAGCCGGGAATCGAATCTCATCAAAATCTGACTTACAATGAGTTCTTCGCAAAAGACAAACTCTTCAGTGCCTACGTGACCGCTAGTCCATGGTGATGGTGCGTCGCCCACACCATTCCAGCGAAAGTTGTGAAAACAGTCACCAAGACGGTTCCTATTTGCTTACAACTGCCCATCGCGACTCAATTTTTGCCTTCCCATACAGTCCTGACCCCAAATGAGCAGCTTCCATGGGCAAAAATAGATCTGTTTTCCTAGAAATGCCAACTATTTGAATACTTCAACCCATCTTACTACCGATTCACGTTTGAGCTTCCTTTTCAAACCACCCATTGCAATGCTAAGTGAAAACATCAATCCATTTGATGTTCGACGTCAGATCGCGTGAGAACGTTCGCTGACTGAATCAGCGCTTGTTGGACAAAGGCTGGTGAGCCGGACATCGAACCAGCCCGAACAATAGGGAAGAGTTTGGCCGCTCAACCGCAATTTCAAAAACGTTTTTTGTAATGGAATCTCTTCGCTCGGTTGGAAACCGATTATGATAAATTCACAGTGGGGAATCAGAGGGTTCATCGATCCGTCGTGAAGCATCCGGATTACCACCACACCCCTCTCTTAGGTATGCAAACGATTTCGGCTTTGTCTTCCTAAATCCCAAATCGTTCCCAATCTATTTACAAAATGTTATACTGCAAAGTATAGCTGAAGTAGAAATTCGCCATCGGGCTGGTATAAGTATCATGCAATTCAAAATGTACCTTCAGAGAAGGCATGTTTTCCATACTATCTAAAGCGATTTCTGAATAAGTAAGTTTGCTTTTTTGAATAAGTAAGTTCAAATAATCGGTCCTACCCCCCTTATAGGGGAAAAGCATTGCAACCATCACAATCGAACAATTTATTTTCGCGAAACAAAATTTATTTTCACACTAGACCTTGTAGCGATGCCGATTTACCCAGGCTACCGAAAGGTAGGAGGATGCTGGCCGGTGGGGGTAACTATATATGAACTTGTTGATATTCCCAAACTCCCTTTCGTCTGCACATAATGCGCGTCATGTATATGTCCTATGATCAGAGAAGCGGTATGGAAGCGGTATTCCGACAAGCTGTCCAAATGCGTGTGCCATTGCGCATAGTTGGCTATAGTTAACTGCCTGCGTGCAACGTGTGCGTCTCGGTGCGAATAGTGTAACGCCCACAGCGTTTACAATGTCGTGAGAACCCGTCCGTCTTTCGATGTGTAGGTCGGCTGAGCCAGTTTAGAACTCCTATTAGCTCTATCTAGGCCGTTTTTCGAACGACAGCGTCCCTTGTGCTATCCTTGAGGGTCGCAGGTTCATCCTAGAGAAGAATCTTAAAAACCCTTTTTATCGTGGACTGTGCCTTCAAAAAAAAGTTCCACATTTGACTTCTATTAGCATCATCGAGCTGTGCTTACATGGATTTAGCCTACGTAGCTTGCTGGGGCTAGTCGATATTCAGCTTTGAAAACGAGCTTTTCTTCCTCTGGGCATATCTGACATCACACTGTTGCATAGATTGAGACGGAGGTTCGACTGGGTGCTGAGTCCCCTATCTCATCAATTTTTCCGTGAAACCCCCAAATACTGTACCCTCTCACTGCCTGAAAAAGTCGTGTTCATGCCATCCACATTTGAATTTTGTGTTTCTTTTGAAGATTTTACTTCAATTTCAGTTCTTCAGGAACTCTCTAAGCGTACAACGTTCATTCGGGTCACTCAACAAACAAACGACATGTATGTGCCTCTCGAAATAAATCCTCAGAAATAAGGCAGAGCGATTGGATTACAGTGATTTCTCGATTACAACGATTAATAAAGTATGATCTGAGGTTGGCGGTCCAAGCCTACAGTGTGTGTGATACAGTTCAAGACTACAGTGACATATAACAGTTTAACCTTAACGTCTTCACTGTGCGGTATACAGAGCGAAAATGAAATGTGGCGGACAACAGCGTAAGCTGTGGGCAGAGGGCAGGGTCCGGGAGCGACAGCACGGGGTTTTGCAGAGCGCTTCGTTCTCAGCTATCCTCGCACCGCCTTCTGCACCTCTCCGTCTTCTCTTGTAATTGGCAGAAGTCACTAGAGTTGGCAAAAAAAAAGTTGGTATCAAAATGATCAGTAAAATGTGAACAATGCAAAGGTTTACTTTTTGTTTGGTTTCGAAATACTATAACTGCCCCCTAGGCCAACCGGAGGGATGGAAGGCTTTCAATCCCTCCAGAGTCAATTAATTAGTACCAGAATCGTGCGGGAGGGTAAAAACATTGATTTGTATATAGGCTGGCCACCACAAGTCATAGTTAAGACCACATTCGCATTCAGTGCACCACTACAATTTTATTGGGTTGTAACATAACTTCGTTGAGGTGTTAGAGTCATTTGACAACGACTTGCTTTGTTTTTTCGCGAAGTGTATATATTCATTCGGAAGAGCTCTTTCTCTCCTATAAACAAGTTTCATTCGTTTTTTGGATAATCTAGTTGTACGTCTTTTTTCTGGCTCAGAATTGGAATATCCAGGGGGAGAAAATCAGCAATTTCGACATCTGCTTTTCATCGAGGTCAATAAGCAGCCGAAACCGCTAGGAACCTATGCGGTGTGCACGAGGAAGGTGTCTTAGGTGTGTCTCTGGGTCTCCCCAGAAGAGACACTGAAGCCGAGAGTCAAGCAAGGCCTTCACTCAAAAGGGG